ATGAGCAGCAGCTCTTCGGTTGCCATTGATTTGGTGCCTTCCCCCGCAGTGCAGGGCACTGAGCTGATCCCTCCTGCCCAGGTGTGGCTGGGTGGCACTGCTGGGTGCTCCCTGTGAATCCTGCAGCCATTATTTGGTGTTGGCTTTCCTGCAGGAGGTAACAAAGCAATCGATTGCCTTCCCTGTTTGCCTGCCAGCTGCAGCTTTCTGGTGCTGCCAGCCTGGCATTTCTGCCCCACAGTTTAACTCTGGGCTTACTGTCCATGGAGGGTCTCTGCTGCCTCAGAGGGACTCTGTTGAACCTTGGATAACCAAGAGGTGTATCTGAATTAATCCTCTCCATTTATTGGCAGACATTTACTAACAGGGTTTTTTTTTAGAGAATTGAAAGAATTTGTGTGCTTTGTGTATGAAAACAGCTGGCAAACACTTTCATCATAAAACCTGTGCATATTTCTTTAGCTGGTGAGTTTTGCACAATATTGTGTCCAACTAACATCCAGTGCCATCTGAAATGTGACTGTGAGTCATTTTCAGGGATGTGTCATTTCAGTGCCCCTGGACCGCCCCAGCAAACCAAACACAGGAGCTAAAAGAGAAATCTGCTTTTTCATTTTTATGGGAACATCCACAATTAATGTATTTTTGAAACTCCTCCTTGGGTAGAAGGTGACACATACCTGATGCTCTCTCATTGTCCCTTAATGATTGCATAACCCCTAAGTGGGAATTGAAGATTTTGTTTTAGAAATATAATTTTGAATTGTATATTTTGCTTAATTGCTAGAAGATTTGGTTGAAGGTGCTGTTTGCTTGATTTTTTTGTACCATCTAGATCACAGTTCTAACTGGGAAACAGGGTTTAAAGTTTAGTGAATTCCTCTGAAAATTGGATATTCCTTGATAGTTCTTTTAATCACAATTAGGATTAAGGGCTTAGATTTTCCTGTGATGTAGCCTAAGGTATGCTTTTCTTCTTCAAGGCACTTCCCTAACAACCAATCAATCTTCAGAGTACTCTGCTTTAGTGTCCTGAGTTTTCAGATGTGATAAAAGTGATGAGTTATTTGATATACCCAAAGTCAGGAAGAAAGTGAGTATTAGCCTGAGGATGGCACCAGTATTTCATAACTCACAGTAAATGCACCCAAATAATTTCAGCTGATTTGTCTGCAATTTTCTGCCTCTCTTATTTTTATTTGGACAGAGTACAGCAAGTTAACAGCACTGCACAAGCTTCTTAGAGAAAAATCACCTCCTTTGGGATTTGGTGGGCAACTGTTTAAAGGATTAGAGCCCATTGGAAATACTTAACTGGAGAGGTTGCTGAGAATTCTTACAAAAAACCCTAACTACTTAAAACAGCCACTGGCATAACTAGAAGGTTAATAATCTCTAAGGTATTGCCCTGGTTTATAGATACTGCTTTTGGAGCAATAAATTTTAACCTTTGAACATGTGCTTCTGCAAATAAAATCCAGCCTTATTTTGTGTACTTAACAACTTCTGATTGGAAACACATAGCAACCTATAGCAAGCATGCTTTCAGCAAACTGGAGCAGAAATGAAGCAGATCTTCAAAGTGGTCACTTATCTTCCTCAATAACTCTTCTACATGTAAACAAGATAAACCAGGTCGTTCTGCCAGATCCCACTCTCTTTGAATGATGTTTAAATAATTTTAAAGAGAAAGATGTTGTGTTCAGAAACATTTCTTCAAGTTCTTCCTTGAAGTACTTTTTTCCTTTTAGAAATGTTAATGTGAAATTAAGCTGTGTCATGAAAATGGGATTAAAATAGGTAGCTGTGGACTTGATTCTGCAGAACCCTGGGGCCAGGCTTCTGATCACTGAGCTAGAACTAGGTCTTAACTTAGAGTATATCAGTGCAAAATACAAAGTTTCCCTCTGTATTCTTACCTTTTGAAAGTCTAAATCTGGGGTTTTTTTAATTGTTTTCTCTCTAGTCTGCAAGCACAATTCCATTTAATTGGCCAGAGTGAGGATGCTTTTCCTATTGAAGCTTTTCCAGTTCTGTTAAGTTACATATCTGTGTATATGTGAATAAGATCTCTGACATTTCCCTCTGCCAGCACAATAGCTGTGCTGTGTATTTCCAGTGGGTTCCTCTTTTGGGTGGATCCAATGGCTCTTTTTTGGGAGAGCAGTTTGCTTGCAATGCTCATTGATGAGGATGGGAAATCCCTTTTGTTCCTGTGTGCTCTTTGTCATGTTCCTCTTTTCCTACCATGTAGAAATCAGTTGAGACTTTCTGTTGCTGAACTTTGAGTTGCAGCTTTTTCCTCTCCTGTGTTACCTGTGCTGTTGGCAGCAAATGGAGCACCACTGTGACAGGAATGAGTGGGAATTTCACAATTTTACAATGCACCTTCTCCATTTCATTGAACCCTACCTTTGTTTAGCACTGTCCTTCTTGCAAACGAAATGATGAATCCAGTTCCTAAGTAGTGAAAGCTGCTGGCTCCCTGAACCATCCTGCTCTTCCCACACTCCTCTAATTTCTCTAAACTGTTTTACCATCACTCTTCTTTGAAATTTGATTTTGCAATTCAAGAACAGACTAATCATGAAAATCTGCAGGTTCACTTGCTGCAGTAGTTGATACACATTGCAAAATGGTTATGAAAAAAGTAATTTATTTTAATGCTCTTTATATACAAGTAATTTCACATCACCAACATATTGATACTCTAATAGTACTATTTGTTATAATTAAAGAACAAACCCAAGAATGTAGTGCCTAAATGACTTAATGCTCCTAAGTCTTTTTTGCAACAGTGACAGAGAGATTTCAGGGGATACCTTGATGGAAATTACTGAGGACAGGCATCCTAAATTCCTAAACTGCTTTAGACAATGAGGGTATAACTTCCCAAATAACTTGTGTGCTCTAAAAATTTTCCCTTTGCAGACAGAAATCTTGTGCATGCAATTGGAAATCATATTGGGGAAATAAGTATCCAGATTATTGTTAAGTACTGATTACCTACTAAATTCTGCTTAGTATGGAAGGGATCAGCCCTTCAGGAATTGAGACCCACATGAAAAATGCTGAGATCTTTATTTTAAGTGAAGTATTTTTTTGCGTTTTCTTCTATTAATTTGGCTTCTCAAATTTTATTAGTGTCACAATAACTCATAACACTTGACCAGATTTAAAATTGGTTGAATGCAATTATTGCATCTTTATCCATGGGCTCTGCTGTCTCAGGAAATGCAGTCACTTTTTGAAATATGATTTTTAAGAAGATTTCTGCCCTGCTTTGCTCTATCTTTTAGGATCCAAAATGAATCTGAATGAATTTTGTCTAAAAATGAACTTGGGCCAAGATTCACAATTCCAGAATACTTTCAAAACATTTATAGTAAGATGCAAGAGTGCCTGTTTATACCAGTGTGTGGAGCATTGGAAATCATACCTGTCAAAGCCCAAAAAATTCCAAAAAGCTCATCCCTGACCTTTGCCCTTAACATGTAGTGAGTGCAACCACCCAGCTCCAGGCTTTCCATCCATTGAGTGGGTCAAACCCATCAGCCAGGTTTGCATTTCTCAAGATGCTTGTGGAAAGTCCACGAGTGGGATCAGTACTATGGAGATCAGAGGAGCAGGAACCTTCTCGGGCACAGCTGCCTCAGCAGTGTGGGACTGATTGCCTGGGCCAAGTTTGGTGGGTTTTTCTGTCTGCAGCGGAACCAGTGGCTGTGGCTGCTCCTGGGCCCTCTTTCCCCAGGGACTCCCTGGCTGCTCCCAGACCGGAGGGCTCCTGTGCACAGGCATCCCCTTCCTGAGGGGGGCTCCTGGCCTTGTGGCACAGGCATCCCCTTCCTGAGGGGGGCTCCCGGCCTTGTGGCACAGGCATCCCCTTCCTGAGGGGGGCTCCTGGCCTTGTGGCACAGGCATCCCCTTCTGAAGGACCCCCAGCCTTGTGGCACAGGCATCCCCTTCCTGAGGGACTCCCAGCCTTGTGGCACAGGCATCCCCATCCCGAGGGGGGCTCCTGACCTTGTGGCACAGGCATCCCCTTCTGAGGGACCCCCAGCCTTGTGGCACAGGCATCCCCTTCTGAGGGACTCCTGGCCTTGTGGCACAGGCATCCCCTTCCTGAGGGACTCCCAGCCTTGTGGCACAGGCATCCCCTTCTGAGGGACCCCTGGCCTTGTGGCACAGGCATCCCCTTCCTGAGGGACTCCCAGCCTTGTGGCACAGGCATCCCCTTCTGAGGGACCCCTGGCCTTGTGGCACAGGCATCCCCTTCCTGAGGGGGGCTCCTGGCCTTGTGGCACAGGCATCCCCTTCCTGAGGGGGGCTCCCGGCCTTGTGGCACAGGCATCCCCTTCCTGAGGGGGGCTCCTGACCTTGTGGCACAGGCATCCCCATCCCAAGGGACCCCCAGCCTTGTGGCACAGGCATCCCCATCCCGAGGGGGGCTCCTGGCCTTGTGGCACAGGCATCCCCTTCCCGAGGGACTCCTGGCCTTGTGGCACAGGCATCCCCTTCTGAGGGACTCCCAGCCTTGTGGCACAGGCATCCCCTTCCAAGGGACTCCTGGCCTTGTGGCACAGGCATCCCCTTCTGAAGGACTCCCAGCCTTGTGGCACAGGCATCCCCTTCCCCAGGGACCCCCGGCCTTGTGGCACAGGCATCCCCTTCTGAAGGACTCCCAGCCTTGTGGCACAGGCATCCCCTTCCAAGGGACTCCTGGCCTTGTGGCACAGGCATCCCCTTCTGAGGGACCCCCAGCCTTGTGGCACAGGCATCCCCTTCTGAAGGACTCCCAGCCTTGTGGCACAGGCATCCCCTTCTGAGGGACCCCTGCAGTTCCTGGCCCTTGGAGCTCGTGCTGTGCTGCACACCTGGCGGTGCCTCTGGTTTAGTGTCCTTGAATCCTGTGTGCCCCGGGCTGGGGCACGCTGGGGACCCCCCCCGGGCCCTGTAGTGCTCCGGTGCCGGTCCGTGGGCTCGGTGCCACCGTGGCAGGCTCACTGCGAGGCCACCACCTGCTGCAGGGTCCCTCCGTGCTGCAAGGCGCCCATGGGCAGGGCGGGCGGCGGCGGCGGCGCCGGGAAGAGCGAAGCGGCCATGTCGGGGTGAGGCTGTGCCTCAGGGCCCGCCATGGGGCTCACCGAGCCGGAGTCACTCTGCAGAGAGCCCAGGCTGCTGCCGTCAAAGTGAGTCAGTTTCTTCTTCATTATTTTCCTCTCTTTGGCTCGGCGATTCTGGAACCAGATTTTCACCTGCAGAGGAGCAGAGGGAAATTGTTTTCAGTTGCTACAGGACTGAATGTGGTCCTTTGTGTATTTAGTCACAGAGTCATAGGGAAAATCAGTGGCATGAGGACCACTGGGAAAGACAGTGACAAACTGAGACAACAGAGCTGTTTGCTTGTTTTCCATACAGGTAATCGTTCCTATCTAGTAATAAAATATTTATTAATAGCTTGATAAAAAGTGAATTTTGTTTTTAGTTCTGTTATTTCTTTATGGAATTAACTCTGATTTATTAAATTTTTTGAAACAAAATTTACCACAACAGGATCTCATGTGTCCTAGTGATTGCCAAAATTATGCAAAAAGTGTTGTTACACTGAAAACTGTGTGCCTTAGTCAGGGCAAGCCAAGATCTGCTACTGGCCTATAAACGGAGGCACAAAAGCTTTCTTGATTGCATGGTGCAAGTTAATTAGTGTGGAAGCCGGTGGAAATTCACTTCTGGGCAGAATTTCACCTGCAATACGCAACATTAATTCAAAATATTGTCTTAGCAGTGCCTGAGTAGCTGAGTGTTTTCTACTTCATTTGTAGATGGAGCCAGAATCTGCTGCTGCTTCCCAGACAATGCAGTGGCACCAGTGGCCCTGCCCTGTCACAGGCACACCTTGGGGAAGGCATGAAGGACCTGCTGAAGGAGGATCTTCTTCAGGGTGGGACAAGTGAGGATGTGAGCTGAACGTGAGTAATGGTCAGCTGAAAATACTGCAGAACTTGTTGAGGTGTGAAATGTTCTGTGGTCACTGGACTGGCTTTGGATGTGAATCCCCAGGGTTGGGTTTAAAGCTGTGCACTCCAGCAGTTTATCCTTGGAAGTGGCTCTGCATCATGTCTAGTCAGTGTAATAAGTCAAGCTACCTCATTCAGGTTTGTTGTGTTTTCTTGTGCAGACAGAAAGGAAACACTTCTGTCACTGTTTTCTATAACCCAAAGAGAAAAAAAATCAATATTTTGCTGAGAAATATTGGTCTGTTCAGTTATTTTTTGTTAGAAACTAGAAGGGGAAAGAGAATAATGATTGGAGAGGAAGTAAAACAGTGAGAGGTGATAACACCTGTGGCTACCAGGCTGCATTTTAAAAGAAAATCACTGGTGAAGCCAAACAGAACATCTTAAGGACTCTGTGACAGTCTCAGGGTGCTTCTCCTTGAGGCATTCCTATTCCATTTTACAGTTGAAGGATTCAAATACATGCAAAGCCCATGTAAATTTAATCCAGGTCTCTTTAGTCCCAGGCTGCCATCTGAGATGTTTGGCAGTTCCTTTTGTTGTCTTAGTTCTGGAATATCATTTCAGTGCCAAATTATGTTCTATTAAACCAGTCTCAAGCCTTCTCAGATCTCTTGCATTCTGACTGTGCAGAGATAATCCATTCTCATAATTTCTCTCATACATTTGCCAAAATGTATGAAAAGATGAAACAGTGTAAAAAAACTAAACCAACATTCCAGAATTACCCTCTGGCTTCAGTATTCTTACCTGCCTGTGAATTGAGGTTTTTATTCTAGTTTGCTGTTAAACTAGGGAAGCAGATCTGCAGGGAGGAATTAGTAGGCCCTGCAGGGTCGTGTGCCAATTATCAAATAAGTCCAAGTAAGAACAGGTCTGTAATGTCAGACGAAAAGCTGTTAGGGCCAGCTGCATCTGTCTGACTTGTTCTTCACCTGTTGCCCTCCTTTCTTTCAATTCTTTTTTTTATGCAATTTTCTCTTCCCTTGAAGTCTGATTTTCTCTCTTCTTTCTCATCCTCATCATCTCCTTTATTTCTGTATGCTTCCTATGTTAACAGTGCTTCACTTTGCCTTTTTTTTTTTCTTAGATATTGCATCTTTCCTTCCTTGTTTAAACAATTTTTCTTTGTCCTTTTGAGATATTCCTTCCAGGGAATTTTGGATTTTGGCAGAGGCAGGAAAAAAGTTTTTCCAGAAAATCAATTGAGGTTTTAGGTAGTGTGCAGAGAAACTTGGGATAGAACAGTGTGTGTTCAATTGTGCTCATATGATGAAGTTTTTTAATTTGTACAAAAGGGTGGTGGTGGGAGTCTATCAGGTATTTCTTTTTTAAAAAAACACTTCAGAGATGTAGGTTGTATGAACTGGAATTCATTTTGTTTTTGATATATTGATGATGATGAAGAAGAACAAATATTGCAAAAGCTGTTGCCAAGTTTCCCCAATATATACAAAGAAATAGATCACATATTTTTGTTTCTCCTCTTCAAATATACTTACAAAACATCCATCAGGAATTATCACTGAGCTAGGAAGTTACAAGTAAATATCACTGGTTGTTTACAGAAGCAGGGCCATGATATTCAAATTCAGCATTATTAAGTCAAATTATGAATGTTTTAACAGCCAGCAAAAAGATACACGGTGTATTTTTTTTATACCTAGCTGAAACAACTTATTTTTTCAACAATTAAATCCTGGCATTCAGCAGCAGATTCGGGAATATTTGCAAAATGGGTGTTTGCTTCTCCCTTTCTGTAAGCTCAGCATGGGCTGTGTGAGCCAGGCTCAAGTTGGATGGACAGTGCTCCAATGGGTGGGCTCTGGACAATTCCTGCTCAGCAGAGCCCATCAAACAATAGTGAATCAGAACTAATCATGGGATTGTGTTTTGATTTCTCTTCTGGGAACAGAAGTGGAATTTGGAAGGGAGGAAATGGGGCAGGAGAAAGGAGTAGCACGTATGTAGGAAACCTTTAACAAAAGGTACAAGGCAGCCAAGGAAACAAAACACTTCAAGTGTCCTGCCCATACTTGAGCTCATCACTTCCATCTCCACTGAGACTGACCTTGTTGCATTTGGTTCTGGAATTCCCACTGAGTTCCCAGCAGAACCAGGACTTCTGCTTTAGAAAGTTCAGCATGAAATTCTCCCTGCTGCCACAGCCCAGAGAGAAATCCAGGCAGGATTTTGGTGATGTGGTTTAGCTCGTGTTTCTCAGAATGGGAAAAAGATGGTGTGTGCATTTCCTGGGTTATTGCACAGCCCTTGTTTGGGTTCTGCTGCAAAGGGAACCCAGTGCTTGGTTACTGGAGGCATGAACATTTCTGTATTTACCATACAGTTATCCCCTCAGCAGCAGTCAGAAATTCAAAGCAATGCCTGGATGGCTGATCCATACTCTACCTGTCTCTCGGAAAGCCTTAGGTTTGCAGCAAGTTCAGACTTCCTCCTGATTGTAATGTATCTGTTGTAATGAAACTCCTTCTCTAATTCTAATCTCTGATGATCTGTGTAAACCACCCGGTACTTCTCTCTCGTTCTTGTTTTACCTGTTTTGAAAGAAGAACACATTGCTTCAAGCTAGCATTTTTTCACTTTAGTACCACAAAATATCTGGCTTTACATTTGAAAATATCTGGGGGGATTTTAGGCCTGATTCTCGATGCACTTACCCAGAGTAACTCCCTTGACTGGGTTTTGATTTACAACACAAGATGTTCATACCATCAGATACTAGGTTTGCTCCTTAGTAAATAGATAATAAACTGCTTCTCGTGTTCTTTATCACCCCTGTGTTATCATTTGGGAAAGGGAAGGCATTCCTGGTAAGAATAAAGAGCCAGGAAACCTGGGTTCTGTTCCCAGCTCTGCTGCAAACATCCTGCCTGGTATTGCATTGCTCTTGTCTCTGTCCCTGCAGCTGACACTCTTACCTGCCTGTCAAGGACATTTTACTGCACAGAAAATACTGAAAGCTTCCAAAATTCCTCACTTCTTGTTGCTAGAAAAATTCCCACAACGTTGTGATTGTTACTGCAGTTTGGAGGTTGTGTTTTTCCATCAAGTCTGGCACAGTCTGCCCACGACCTGATAACAGCACAGGGAACAGTAACATAGATTTTCAGAATGACAGTTCATAAAAAAGAGAAAAGGCAAGCAATAATACTTCACAATGGGCAGGGAACTGCAGCATCTGCTGCTTTGGGAGCAGCATTGCTGCCTCTCTTCAGCTGTGGGTGCAGCTGAGTGGAGCAGACACGGCTCAGCAGCATCCAGGGCATTAAAAGGCAATGGCAGATGACAGGAGCCAGGGAACACAGATGCAAGGAGCTGAAATTTTATGGGTTCCATACGGGGTCATTTCTGAGGACAGAATGTGTGGCTGCTCTGAAAGAAAGCTGAGAATGGAAAAGGCTGCTGCTGGCTCCCTTCCTCTGTGGTTTATGATTTAGGGAATCAATATATTGGAGATCAGCACCTGCTTAAAGCCAAAGCCTGAGGGCTTCCCACATTTTTAACAAATTGGATTATGTGTTAAGACCAGTGTTATCATCTCTGCTGACCACAATCTTACAATTTTTTGGTGCTTCCTTGTTTACCTGTGTTTATATGGACATTCCTTCAGATGTGCATATTTAGCCAGTGAATTGTCTGGGACAGGGAATATATTTTCAGTATTTTTTTGCTCTGTATTCCATTGTGGTGCTGGAGGTTGTGAAACTGTGTCCTCAGTGGTCCCTGCAGCAGAAGAACCCCCTCAGGTTCAGGTTCTCCCAGGTGATGCACAGAACTCAGGTGTTTGTACCTGTACACATCTGCTGTTGATGCAGGTGTTGTGTGGCTTTGCACAGCAGCTCCTGTTTGCTTACAGAGCTTTTTCTGACAAGGTTACAGGGATGCCCCAAAAAACAGGTGCCACAAGCTCCTAATAATTACAGTCTAATAGCAGTTAATTTTGAATGGGGTGAAATAGATTCTCAGGCATGGATTGGTAACATTTTAGTGTCTGAGTGGATCCCCATGGCACAGAGCCCCAGAGCCAGCAGCTTTCCCTGGCTGGAGAGAGGAGCTGCAGGGGCCATGTCTCAGTGCTGCCAAAGGCCTATTCCTACCCAGCTCCTCCTTCCCACTCCCCTTCATAGCTCCCAAAGCAGAATTCAGGCTACAGGACTACAGCAGAATCTTGGGTTAATGTTTTTCCCCCATCTGTGGAGGGAGATGTGGTGTTTCTTTGTTTTTTATAGAACAAATTTAAAGTTAGCATTGCTTTCCACTTGCCATGCACACCATATAGGGTCACTTTTGCCTCTTCCAGTATTTGACAGTCAGGACTTTGCTCTTTCTAAGAATTTTTTAGTAGTAGCAGAACCTCACTCACCAACCTATTGCTTGCATTAGAAATTTCTTCAGGTTCTGCTCCTCTTTGTACTATTTGTATAGATCCCAGAGCCAGAGTTGGTGAGCATCCTGGGCAGTGCAATGCTGTAAATAAATCCTTTTATAGCCTGCATAGGGATGGTTCTGGCTCACCCTACAAGACAGGGGTTCCCTAGGACTCTCCCCAGGCTTGTAGAACCAAAGCTTCATCACAATTTGATCCTTCAGCTCCCATGTTCCAGCCCTGGGGGACATCCATAGTGCCTTTACAATGCTCTGGGCATCATCCAACCCTTCTTAAGGCCATCAGCCTGCTAACTTGGAATATTTCAATAGGGAAAATAGGTGTGGGATTGCTCCTTAGGCTGTGGCTTCTGCTCAATCCTTTGTCTCAAATCTGTTACCTGGCTGTGAAGGTGCTGCCTGCTGGGGAAGATGTGCAGGACATTCTCATCCCCTGGCATTTCCACCTCTGTGGAACTGCAGTGGAAGCAGAATTTTACACTGATAATCCAGTGAAAAACGCTGCTAATTTTAGAACATTAAGGTAAGAATTGTAGAGTCTCTAAGGAACAGCAGTGATTCAGTTCAGTCCACATAAATACCAGGACATTTGTTTTCTTTCACTGGAAGTGTAAATTGTTTGTTTAACATATGGTAACCTGTGGTGCTTTAATGCCTCACTTGATATTTTTTAACTTTTGATCTCTTTAACTGGTGGTTTGGTTAAGGGTTTTTTTCCTCTTCAAATGAGACTTTGGGGTCATTCTACGGGACAAAATGTTTAACATGTTTCCTTAGTGTCCTTTGTGTTGTTAAGATGGAGTACACAAAAGAGCAACAAGGTGATCTTATCTTGACCTCTGTTCTCATTCAGAAGGCACAGACAAATATCAAATGTTCTTCTATTGCCAAAACAAGGTGGTAAACTTCAAGAAAAATCTTCCTGTTTCTGGTTTTAAGTGCTTAAACCCTTACTACCTGAATAGGAGAGGGTTGTGGTGTTTTGGGTTTTTTTTGGGGGGGGTAGGGTTTTTTGTTTGCTTATGTTTTGTTTTGTTTTTTTCTTTTTAGAAGAAGAAATTAAATGTACATGGAAAACACAATTTTCTCCCATAAGATCTTTTTTTTTTATGTACAAGTAGCTCTCAGGTTTTTTTAGTGGAATTGATAATATCTGAATTCTTTTTGAAGGAAGATTGAGAGCTTTGACATCTAATTTCTTTCTTAAAGTTAAGTAAATAATGTAGAAAGTAAAAAAGCAAAAGTAAGGAAATTCTGAGAAATGCTCTGAGAAAAATTCTCTGATGTGTCAAATAAACCTTGTCTTTAATAATTTGATTTTTTTTTTAATGTATGGAGTAATACTGTGAGAGACAGGAGACAGTGGGAGCTGAGATCTGCCAGAGTCTTCCAAGAGACACTTTCAGCTCTGGCAGAGCCATGTTTTAGTTTGTTAGGCCTTTACTCTCCTTGATGTCAGTGAGAGTCTTCCTACTGCCTCTGTGGGATGCTGGGCTGGAATTAGTCTGCACATGGCATTTCCTTTCAAAGGCAAAGCACACTTTTATTTGCCAGAGTTAACAAACAGCAGCAACAGAATCCATCCCTAAACAGTTTGGGGCTTCAGCTTCTGAATTCCAGCTGTTGGAGCAGATCCACTCCAGTGTGTTCTGCAGACCTACTGGTTTTAATTTCAATTGCATTTTATTTCCAGGAGAAATATTACCTGAGTTCAATTTGAGGTGGGACTGGTGGATTCACCCCATAGATAGTGGGAGGATGTTCTTCACTTCTCAGGACATAATGGCACAATTCAATGATGCAATGATAAAAGTCCTTGTAATAATCCAATTCTTGAATGGAATCCTGCAGATTTTCCTCACTTAGGTGAGTGAAATAGCCAACATTTGACTTTGTACCATATTAATTAATCTATCTTGTATTAGTGACAGGTTAAAATTACAGTCAGCAGTACTGGGTCAGTTCTGTAGGGAATATGTTCTGGCATGGACAGTCCCACCATGGAATTGTGGTTGGAGAGGTTATTGGTGCTTGGGTGGAAGAGAAATGAAACAAAAGGGCTTTGAAGCAGCCACCTTTGCAGCCTGCCTGCCTTTGTGCTGGGGGAGTGGATTTCCTGGGTTTAATGAGCTATATAAGAAGAGGAAGTTTTGTCAAAACCCTTTTTGCACTAGTGCCTACTGAGGAGTGCCTTTGGAGCAGCAAGAAATCCGAGATTTCAGAGCTGGAAATCTTTTTGTGGGATATACATGAACAATGCTGCTCCATCACACCCACTCTGGCAATTTTTGACTGGCCAAGTTTTGAGTTGGGGGAAGGGAACAGCTTTCCCATTGGTCATAAAATTCACAGAGTATTTCTTCTGAAGACAATAAAGCTGGGAGAAGGCCTCTTTATTTGCTGTGAAAATCATCACCCTTTCCGGCAATATAACTCCTAAAGAAAAGAGGGAGAAGGAAGAGACAAGGCTGCATATCAAAGCAAAGAGAAGTGTTAAAAGGGTCTGTTGCCTCAATATGACAGATAGGCCTCAAAACCTCAGACAATGTAGGCCAGGAAAGGAAAAAAAAAACCCCACCATCCGACCTCACAACTTGTTTACAAAGCAAAATAAATTAGCATTAGAACCAGCCCTGGGCCCTCTTTCTGAGCCTCCTCTCTTCACTTTTCAGGAATATTCTGCAGGCACTGAAACCAGCATCATAAACCAGCATCTTTCATAAAATCAGAAGCTGCCTGAAGATGTCCTAGGATAGGATAGGGTGGGATTTCTGTGGGATTGCTGACAAAGCATTGCAGCCTGGATTCCAGGGTTTAACAGTGTTTCAGAGGAAGTTATGGCTGTCCTTGGTGACTGGATGTTACCTTAAATCATCCCAGAAATGTTAAACATCTTCTGGCCTGAGGATATGCTCTGTTCCCACCTGCATCTCTCTGTTACTTTAGTATTAAAAAACTTATGCTAATTTTTGAGTTTATAGCGGTACAGACTGACAGAGATCAGGCCTCAGTTTTGTTTAGGACTCTAACTACTTATGTATTTTAAAAGTGTAGGAAAAGTAAAGGGCAAACTCTCCCTGACTTAAGTCAGTAATTTCACTGAATTAATTAAAACTGTGAAGCAAAAGTAATTTTAAATAATGTTTGAAGACAAACATTGTGCTGCACATGATGTTCTGTAAAGCTAAATTAAAAAAACCCCACCAGCCACTGTATTAGAAAATGTGACATAGATCAAATCTTATATAATATTCCTGCCAGAAACCTTGGTGTGATAAATAGGTGTCCTGGCCCTGTGCATTACTGCAAAGTTAGGTGCTAAAGATTTGTGAAACTCGGTGTAATTCTGTGTTTGTATTTTCTGCTACATTTCTCTCATCTCTTCTTTTATACATGCTCAGATTGTTCGTGCTGAAAAAACAGAATAGAATCATAGAACTGAAACCTTTCAACAGACTTGAATTTTCCCTTCTGTTTTCAATTTTGAATATGTTCTGCTATTCTGGAATAAAGCTCATTGGCCAATTTCTGGTTTTCCCTTTGCTAGTGTAAACTTTTCTCTTCTTCTTCATTTACAGAAGGAATTGCATCCAAAGCAGAGTCATTTTTATTCTCTTTAAGCAATGACTGGACAGTCAGAAGCACTGGACCTGCAGAAAATGTCAGAGGATTTCTGAGTGGCAAACCAGGGAAATCCCATTGCCAATGACTATAGACTGAAAGGAAAGTGATTAACTGAGATTTTTCCCAAGTGTTGTGTGTTCTTTAGCATTCAGCATCTTACAGGAATGGCCTCTAAGGAGGCTTGTTCCTCTTCCTTCCATTTGAGGGAATATAACTCCTTCCTTCAAAGCCTAAGTGTGGTACATTTACAGTGCAGTCCTCCTGTCATCATCAGCAGCAAACTGTCTTTAGTGTCTGCAGAGTGAATTTTTACTGAGGAAGAATGATAGGAGAGTTGTCATCTACAGAAAAAATTTCTCCTCTGAATCCGTTCACCTGTTTCAAAATGTGTCCCCACCCGGTTTTATGGTAACACAAGTGCAGATCTTAAGGTGCACTTTCAGCTTTGTGAGCAAATTCTCCTGGGAGTTCCCTGCTCAAACTCAGTGTTTTGGGCACACTTTTACCACAGGTGTGTGTTGTTTTCTCACACAGTCATAAAGTCAAGTCTACTCCTGTGTGAGTGATGACACAGCTCCATAAAAGTCCTGAAATCAACAGGACGAGATTTGTAGCTTCTTCTAAGGTGGTTTTATTCTACTTTCTCTCAAAGAATTTGCCTGTAATTATGTCTTTTGTGTGTGTGGAATTTCCACCTCACATTTCTATCTGTGGCTTTGTTCTGTTCTGTGTTACAATTGCTCCAACAGTCCTGGCTGTGCTCACCCTCTCCAAGGAGAGGTTGAGGAGACAGGAGCAGTGTAAGGGTTGGAGTAGAGTCTTTTCTCTGAGTGTTTGTGGCTGAAAATCCCGAGTGCTCAGAGCTTCCCCTTCAAGTGTTCTGAGCCAAAACACATTGGATTTTTCCTGAGGAGTGCAGAGACAGGGCCCTGGACTCTACATACTCTGTATTGATCCAATCCCTGCAGTGCCAAGGCAGGGACAGACACTCAGCCCTCCTTCAGTCAGAGAAAGAAGGATGCATGAAAGCCTCAGCAGGACTTTTCTGCAGGAAATGTGTTCTAATAGTATTAAATCAGGGTGATAATCTCACTCTAAATAATGAAGTCTTCTGGAGGTTTCAGGTACCCTCACAAATTTCACTTTACATCAGTTGAACACATGGTTCTACACTGATGTTGTTTTTAAAGTTACAGAGTAAAACTTGAAATATTTCTTTGTTTCAGGTTAGTTGTGTAGATAACAGTATCAAAAGAGCTGGAGGGCACGAGGCAGTGGTAGAAATTGCAATAAAGTGTTTTGTCTGTCATCTGTCAGGACATGAGGCTGCAAAGCAGCACTAAGAGAAGATAACCATGAGATCTCTGGAGATGGGAATGCCATGGATTCAGGGCCTTGTTTCTGTAGCTGCTCCAAGTCAGACTGCTCAAAGTGAGTGAGCCTTTGGCAAGAATCTCTCCCAGCCTTAAAGGGACAAGATTGCAGGAACGTTTCTTGCACACTTCTGAGAATATCTTGCAAAAATTACTTGCTTTAATAATTATTGTTTTCCCAGTGAAATATTATTGGTAGTGTTAGTATTGATAATTAGTGATTTGCAGAATGTAATGAATAAATAGCAAAATTAATTTGTCTGAATGATTACTTTTGTGATCACCTCAGGTAAGTCTGAGCCTCATTGTTTTCATCATTAAGAACAGTGGTCTGTATCTATTCACAGGGAATAAGGAAAGCTAATAAATAATAAGTGTGATTCCTTCATTCTTGCAACACTACACCTTTAATGAAATTCCCAAAGGTTTTGTAAAGAGACAGAAGGATAATGCTCAGTGAACAGAGACAGCTTTAAGGATGTAAAAAGAATTGGATTCAACCTAAGAAAATTCTGAGGGGTTTGATCATGATACAGCAAACAACATTTGCAGTGAGCCTGCTCACACCCCTGAAATCACTGCAAAACCTGCATGTACAGAACCAAACTCACTCAGGTGCTTTCCCAAAGGAAAATATTTTAAAGTTATTTCATTTTTGGGAAACCATGAAGGACAGCAGTGCCCTTGCTTTTAAACAGAAAAGACAGAGGATAAGGAGTGAAGGGAGAGAAAGGAACCAAGTCCAGTGAAACAGATCTGCTGGCACTGAGCCTGCCTGGCCTAGCAGAAATACTAATATATAGAAGAGGGAAAGGAGCAGCAGGAGAATTCCTCCTCTGGATTTTTTCCCTAAAGCAGCACTCAGTAGCTTTTAAATGTAGCCTTCCACTGGCCCATGGGCATTTGGGAGGCTCTGTTCCATGGCCTGCTGATTTCTCCAGTTCTGGACACAGATATGCTCAGTATCTTGTTAGACCACTCCAGAAAGGAGACACTCCCAGCTCTTCTGGGAATGCCCTGACCTTTGCAGGTTGAAATTTGGAAAGTTAGAAATCTCTAAGTTGTTCTTGAGCAGCAGTTAGAATGTGATATTTTATATTATGTATATATATCTCTATATGTGTGTGTGCTGCATCAATCTGTCCCAGTGTCCCACTAGTAAAGGGACAGCACAGAACAAATCAGGTTTTGCTCCCTTGGTGTGAATGCACAGGAGCACAAAGCAGGTAAGGAAGGGATGAGGAGCAGTGCCTTTTTTGAGCAAGGGTTCTGCCATCTGTAAATCCCACAATTAGTGAGCAATATTTTTGCCCTTGTAAGGACTCCTCAAAAGTAAGCTGCAAGTTTTTTTTTTCAAAACAGGCCCTCTTTTGTTTTTTCTTGGATAATATTCAGTGAAGAACAAATAAGATTTTAAAAATACAAACTTTTTCATCCCCCCAAAAAAATTCTTATTCACACAGAGCAACAGCCTGTTCTGATTGCTCTATTGAATTCTGTGGACTCTCCATGAACTAAAGTTCTGTTCAGCAGGAGTGAGCAGGACTCTGCCCATACAAATTAGATGCATTCTTTTAATACAGACAACTTTTCTATGCAGTTGCTTTCAATTCTCTAATGTCTGTTTTAAGTAATTGCTTTTCTGCCAGAGATTGGTTCAGTCCCTGCTTTGAAGACTTTTATTTACAGACAGGTGTGGAGGGAGGGAGAGAAAGGGAAGGAGCCTTCCTGGGATGCAGCACTGAAATACTGGGAGCATCTCTTTAGGGGAGGAATCGAGCATCCCTAATTTCTACTGATCTCAGTGCATGTCAAAGCTGCTCAGCACCTCAGAGGATCAAATACTTTCATAGAGCAGATTATGTCTCAGTTCTTTTCAGGCAGTTTTCCATCTTTTTCTACTCCCCTTTCTTGTTTAATATTTTTTCATATACAGGGTGCAGATTTTTGTTTTAGGGATGCTCAGTGTTTATCTTTTTCTCTTGTTCCTCCTCCCAATCAAACAGAACCTTTCCCTCAAGCTTCATGGCTTATTTTTGCTGCTTAAATACAATTGAAGAATTGTTTTGTACTCCTTGACTGTCATGCAGCAGAGCCTAATCTGTGGCTGTATTACCAGGCTGTGTTACCATGGATCTTTGTATTCCTGCATATTCTGAGAGCTGCTACTACAAAGTGAAGCAAGCCTTTCCTTATCATCCCTGTTTTTAAAGCATTGACTCATTGTGTGATCTTGCAGATCTCATTTCAGTGTTCTGAGGTTTGGAGGGGTTGTTTCTGGTAGAAAGCCTTACTGCCAACCCCCTGCTGTGCATATTTTACTTGAACTTTTCCTAGGTACTCCAAAACTTGAGGAAAGTAAGCAAAGAATAGGTGGTTGTGAATATAATACTTCCTATTCCATCCCAATCTATAGAACTCCTACGAAAAGCAACTATTGGATATCACAAACTTTAAAAACATAACTGAAGTGGGAAATGAAAGGACACTGCTTTTCACCTCCCACAGGATTAAAGGTCAAGCAAGAAACACAAGAAATAATCAACTGACCAAACCCAGCATCCAGTAACTGAACCAATATTTAACCACTAGCAAGAGAATCCTTCAGAGCAATCAGGATCTATCTTTTATTAATCTGAATCCTTCCCTCTGAACAGGCAACCTGGCAAAACCCCCCCAATGACACAACAACAAGCAAAAATCTCTTCTCAGCACAAAACCTCCGTGCTCTCCTACCTGTGGACGTGGACTGCACGGTTTTCCTCATCCACTCATAAGAGCTGTGCCTTTGGCTGTTGGGAGAGATTTGCTGGGCATGAATTGTATCTACAGGAGGTAAGGGCGCAGCAGCAGCAGCGGGGTGCAGGGAGCTGTAGTCAGCAGAGCCGTAGGAGCCCTGGCCAGGGGACGAGCCATTGATGTGGGCAGCAGGCGCGGCGCTGGAAGGGCCTGGGCCGTAGGCGCTCCAGTCCTCGCGCTGGGGGCCGTAGTGGGAGCCCCAGGCGGGCGCCGGCTGCCCGTGGCTGTCCAGGGCTGCCACGGGGTGGTATCCCATGTAGTCGGAGTAGGACGGGGCAGACACGAAGTTCTGCACGGGCAGGCTGTTGTTGGTGCACCTTGCAGCTCCTGGATACATGCTGCTGTCCTTATCCAGCAGATAGCTCACGTACATGATGCTCACAGCCTGCCTTTGTCTTGCTGGGACATCCTGCTCCTTGCAGGGTTTGTTTGATCTCCCTTCCCCTCCTCTTTCTTTCTCTCTTTTCTAGCCCAGCCTGGCTCTATAAATGACTCCTGCTAGCCCTGATGTCCCTTTACTACACATGATTAACAATGGTTTTACCAGGTGCTGGTGGTAACAGTTTACTAAGGTCCTGCCTGATGTCACAGATAACTGCCTGCCCCAAAATTACATTTGCATTCAAATGAAGGGCTGCCCATGCAGGCAACCCCACCTTGCTGCTAGTTCCAGTGCTTCCTTTCTCACAGATCTTTATGTATTGCCAGCCCCGTTCTTTACTTTGAGAATGTGGTTTGAAATCTCGTGGTCTTCCAGCAGAGCTGAGTAGGTTGTTAACCATAACTGTTCAGGCAGTAGAAGTTGTATTTTTCTTGAGCAGTGCATGTCAGGATCTCACTTCAGGGACTCAGTTAGAGTTACTCAAAGCCTGGTGGCTGCTGGTCCAGTAGTAGTTCTGCTCCAATGTGCTCTTTTTTTTAAAGCTAAAACCAGAGGAGCAATTCAGTTTTTAACATCAGCTCTTACAGAGCTCCTCACATGAGCACTCTTCTTGACTTCAGCTCTTCATCTGTGTGGGAGAGCACTTAGAAACCACAGTAATCCTGGTGATTTTACCATTACAAAGGATATACAAGAAGTCTCATAGTCATTTTGAGCATTTGTTCATACGAATAGTCTTGTTGATGTTAGCAAGCTATTCATGAGCTGGCTGCTTGCCACAGTGATTGAAGTTCCTCTATTCTAACCTCCAACGTTCACAGAAAGGGAATCTGTTATTGAGAGAATGCAGAATTTGTCACTTTCCCTGTGCTTATGTCTTGGTTGTGATATTGAAATGAGTGATAGTTTTCCCTGAAGGTTTTTTTTGTTCTCATTGCTGTGCTTCTTCACAATAAGTAACACCTTTTCTTGGAAATATGGGAACAAATTATAGCTTTTTAGCTCAGGAAAGCAGTTTCCTAACTTTCAGGAGCAATCTTATGTTTGTGAGTAACAAATCCCTATGAGATCATCTGTAACCAGGAGCAAGGAGAGAAAGTGTGGATTTCTTTTTTTAAACGAGGTGGATACCTTAGCATTGTCTCTTAATGGGAGTTCACCCTGCTTTCCTTCCTTTCCTTTAATGATGTGATACTTAATTGCACCTTTATTAATGATTCAACTTGTTAAAAGGAGTTTTTCCTTAAACAGGTGCAAAGTATAATGAGTTTTTTCTTTGTTCAGAGGTGTATTTTTTCTCGGAGTCTTTTGCACTTTAACACCATTTAAGCTTCCAGGTTCTCGGAGGAAGGAATCACTTTGCACACCTGACAGCACCGTTGTTTCCTTTAGTGAGAGAGGGGTGTCCTTAGGCTGCATTCACAGTGTGCCTTGGGGAGGGACTTGTGCAAAAAGATTTTTTGACTGATAATCTCAAAAACACAGCTACCTGCTCAGAGTATTTCAGATTTTCCTGCCGTGCAATTGGGTAAAATTTGTGCTCTTTTGCTTGTTTGCTTGTTTTTGGGGGCTGATGTTTTGCTGCTGTAATTGCTGAAAGGTATTTTAAAAATCATTAGGTGGTGGGAAGTTGCCAGAAGCAGTTTCTGCTGCTTGCATATGTGAGCTTACTCGCTTGCAATTTGCACATCTGTGACAGCTGGCCACTCAAAATTACCCAGCAGAGCTGCTGGGAAGGACTTCTCAAATCCAGGGAAGGCAGTGATCAGTGATCATGGATCTGAACTGCTTCATTCTGCTGCAGCAAAATAAATCACAGTTGTCCAGTTTAGAATTAGGTGTCTCTGAACAGCCTGTCTGCAGTTAAAGTGGGATTTTAATGTACTGGGATCTTCCTATTTTTTAACTCCAGTGTTTTTCTCCCTTCTCAAATTTGGAGCACTGTGGTTGCTCAGTAGCTCTTGAGTGTTGAAATAGTTACAAAGAAAGATTCTTTACATCTTTCTGTTGTAAGTTGATTTCATTTCCTTTCTTCCTCTTCAAAACTGTTGAAGCCTCGTCTTTGTAGGAATTTCAGTGCCTCTCCTGAGTGCAGGTGTAGCAATAAATCAGCCAGAGGAAGAAGCAGCATTTGCTGCTTTACTGGAGCCCTCCAGCTGTCTGCAAAATGTTCTAATTATGTTCATTCAAGGAAACTTTTCCTGCAGGCTTTGTGTACCTGGTAGAGCCCAGCACAGAGCTCTGCAGAAGGGCTGAGTTGGATCTGCCCCTGTTCAGTGTTCAGGAATGTTGGATACACCAGGCTCCAGCCATGGATTCATTCTCTCCCACTGCAGCATTGTTCCATGAGGAGCATTTTGCTCTGTATTTCACAATGGTTCAATTTGTCTCATGGAGCTACTGAAGGCAGTACAATGGTGATTAGTCCTTGTATTAGAAAAATCACATAAAATACCTTTTGGTGCTTCCAATAATACGTGGATATAATGACATGGAAGGAGATTTTTCCTCTTCCATACTGCCTAAAGAAAGGGCTTTACAATCTGGGATGGTTGAACTGACAATGCTTTTGCTCCTCTGGCCTCATGCTGTGCCCACAAAGCAGGAAACTGTTTCCTTTGGATTCCTGAGTACCCTAAGTTGGTCTGGCTCCAGCCAGCTCTACTTTAGCTTTGGTTAGTCCAAGCTTTTACAATTTATATCATTTCAATCTTACCTATTAGTCAAACTACAGTCATTGGACTGTAATTGCTAGAGCTATGGAATAATCACATGTTAATATAGTTAATTTAAAACTAAATATTTTCAAAAGTTCTCAAATGCAAAGTGAATGGAAATGAGAGATTGCCCTGAGTTCTAAAGAGGGAAAATAACTTTATTGAGATGATCCTAAAACACCTTCACCCTAAAACACCTTCACCCTTGGGCCTGTCTAAGATGCATTTTTCTAGTTCTAAATTTTAATAGTTTCCATCCTCTGAAGCTGGGAGTTGGTGTCCACCAGAGATCCTGGATGGGAAAACATCTCTGAAAGAGGCTTTATCAGGTGATGCTGATGTGGGCAGAGACCAAGCAGCAGCACTGGGATCCTCCAGTCCACTTTGCTTATTCCTCTTCTGCTGCATGAATGAGTCTCCAGAGCTTTCCTTTGTCATGTCACAAAGCCATGGATCTGCTAAGGCCCCATCCTTGTGTTTCCAAGCTGATCTGTCTCACATTTTAACCACATCCCATTTCTCCTACACATCCCATCTTCTTATCTAAGAAGCTTCAGTAGCTCTGTTTTATTTTTCTGAGCTTTTATTTTTCCTTTTGGTCTGCCAAGAGTAGCAGCACGCATTTTTGGAGGCGTGTTGCCGTTCCAAGCCTGATCTCTGACTCCAGTGAAGCAATGGGGACAGCTGCTGGTCAGCTGCCTGCATGGCAAGGAGGCCTCTCCGGGCTTGCAGGGACCGTGACCTTATTCAGGTTTCAGAGTTCTCAGCCTGCTCAGGTCTGTTGGGAGCAGGACTCGTGTCTGTCACATGTTCAGCTGCAGGAAGCAGCAAAGCTTCTGAAGAATCCTGGCTTGGAGTTCTGGAGATGTTGCAGGGATTTTGCTCTGTGATTTGATTAATGGTAACATCTCTCCTTTGAAACCTGGAGTGGACTACTTTGGAACATGCCAGGCTTTTAAAAATTCACTTTTACAAGGAATTTTCTGGGCTAAACAGGTCTGAAAGGTGCTGGAATGCAGAATGGGATTGCTGAGCAGTGACAGAGCTGGGCTGGGACACTCCTGCCATCCAACGTGGCACTGAGCCACAGGGCTGGAATGTCACATCCACTGCACACCAGGGCATGGTCTCAGGGGGTGATGGCAGGGAGGAGCCAAGAGCAGGACTGTGAGGTTTTAATCTTGTATTCTCTAAGGAGTAGCTGTGCTTCAAATGTATCCTCTTTGTTAATCAATGTGTATGCTCTTCAAATAATGACCCCAACTTCCAGGTAACTGACATAAGTGTAGCCTTTAGGATGGCTACAGTAACCAGCTGTCTCACCAGAACTCTGACAGCACTCCTAGTTCTGAAAAAAAGAATCTTCTTTGCTCACTGTTGTTCTCTGTGCTTTGAATTTTAGCACTTTGTAATGCTCTGGATCTCCTTGGGCTGTGTGAGTCAGGCCCTGCTGCAATGGGGTTGCAAGTGGTGGCAGCCTTAGCCTGATAATTCACTGCTGCATAACCTTCCCAGAAGAGCACACAGATCCCAGCCTCTGTCCTGCCTGCTGCCTCTCCTGCTGCCCTGCACAGGAGCAGGACAAAAACCCACCCCCAAAGAGCTCCCTTTGCTCACCTCACACCTGGTGCACAGCACACGGTTCCAGCCCCAGGCTGAGGGAATTCCTGCTCAGCTCACCGAGCAGATGAGTCCAGCACAATGGGATCCAGCATTCCCCTCCACGGGGTTTTGTCTTGGTGTGTTTGTGCTTATCCCTTCTCTGCTGCTGGAAACCCCTCCTTGGCATTTAGAAGGAAGCTGTGTTATATTTTAATATCAGGGCTGCTCAATCCTGTCTGGGGAAATTCTTTACCTTAGGTGATGGTTTTGAGAGCTCTGTGAACACCTGGCTCTAGGAGCACATTCTGGGCACTTGCTTGCTGAGCACAGACTGTATATGGATTATCTTCATTGAATTCTTAACTAACAGCAAAAATTTTTCTTTTTTTCTTTTCGGGAGTGTGTTTTTCCCTCCTCCTTTAGTATGGAAAATATCCCTGAACACAAGAGTGTCTCAGCACAGGCGAGGGATCCACAGGTACATTTCCTACAGCTGTGTAGTCACTCCTGAATGAAAGTCACCGCAGTGACAATTCCCACTAGGTGGCACTTTGAATCCACGGCACGGGCAGAGCCCCGGCTGATGGAGTACCTGGGAGCTGCCACTTGCATTTGTACTTAGTGATTGACCAGGCTAAAAAAGGATCAATGTAGTGCTGCCTGCAGCAAGTT